GCTAGAGCATGCAAAGTCATCATTTATTTACCAGAAAATGTTTACTTGGAAACGAAAATGGCACCGAGAAACTTATACGTCAACCACGATTTGATCGAAATAAAACGCATTGAATCTAGTGAAATAAAGGACAAATGGTCACTTATATGGTAAACCACAAAAAAATTCCATCTTTTCACAAATAAAAATTGTCATGGAACTTGGTACAGATTAGTTTATAAATGCAATATTGAATATTATGTTTGTCATTTCGTTTAGTTGATGTCATTTCAATGAGCCCAGTGTTGGCCATCAAAAACTTTTGATCGCTTGCTCGTTCTATATGATTTAAAAATTATTTTGTTCATTCGTTCGTTCGAAATTGTGCTTGTTTGTTGTTGGTCACTAGCAAGCTTGCGCATGTGTTAGTAAGTTTAACAACCGCTCTGAACTGGAGTGAACACACACAGGTTTACTCCAATACAGAGTGTTCTATGTTCATCTCGTATAGGAGCAAATATTCCCAAGTTTGTCGCGCGAATTGCGTGTGTGTGTGATGTGAGTAAAGTATATTGTGAACTTTGGGACCATTACCGTTTAGTATTGTAAATGAAGGCGTAACATACAGTTTACTCTCTACAAATAGCAAGTTCGGTTTCATTTTCGAGTTCTTACACTTTTTATCGAATACATCGTGATATTTTTTGTTCAGTTGTTGTTTCAATGTAAAATAGTTGCATGAAAAAAGTAATCTAAAGAAAAGAAAAGGACAAAATTAGTAAAAATAAAAGAAAATCAATACAAAACCGAGGAAAATTCATGATGAGCAAGCGTGAAAATGATGGTGAAATCAACGAGAAGTCGAAACAACGAAAGCCAAGCGACGATTTTTTAAATGAGCCAATTTTACCATTCTGAGAGCACAGTTGTTCTTAGATAGGCTTAAAGGGCCTATCTAATCCTTATCAATTGCCAGAGAAAAAAAACCAACGGTAGTACTGTGTTAGTTAATAACAATTTGGTTAAATGAATGAATATAGATTGAAATTTTTTTTAGGATGATTTAATATAAATGTAAATGTTTGATGAATGAATAAAAGACAATAATTTGACCAAATTAAAAGAAAATTCTCGTTCCAAATTTCATTCTGCGTCTCATTAAAAAAAAACTCTTAAATTGATATATATTCTTTTTGTACACTCGCATTGCATAGCGTACTTAATCATAGCTATACTATTTTACTAATAAATGTTTTATGTCTTGATAAGCAATTAGCGATTCTGCTGTGTGCTCCTCTTTTATACTAAACACGTGCCATTCGTACGCTACTTCTTTAAAATATAATTTAATTTTAGTTCGACTAAAGTCAAGTTTCATTTATCTCATTCTTGAAGGATGTGATGCGAACTTTGTTCTTCCTTTGGAGTAAACAAATACTCAAATTTGCATCTAGACTTGCATCCAATTGTTATCATCATTAATTATAATCATTTTAGCATTTAATTCGACTTCCAGCCAATGTCAGTACAAAATTGCACTTTGCAGCGATCGGTTGCTTATTTCGTAATAAAGAAACCAGCAAAATGAATGCACATTTCATTTACTTAATTTTACTTATTTTCACTATTGATCACGGTGTTTGTTCGCAAAAATATGCGTACATCGGTGAATGTGATTGTGAAAGGCCCGAACCATACAAATATCGTTTAACCTTCATTTGCGTTGTAAATTATGTGGAAACGAACTATTTTTCCGAAAGTAGTCTGTGTGGTTGCCGAAATAATTCCATTTTATTTTTACAAGAATTTATCGGCGAAATAGAATTCAAAAATTGCGTTCTCTCACAAATCCCAAACAATTTTGGTAGGGCTTATGAAAATGTGTATAATTTGGATATGTCGAATCTTGGCGTAGAGACATTGCAATCAGAAAGCTTTGTTGGAGCGAAGAAACTAAAATACTTATCTGTGACAGGCAACAAGCTCACCGAAGTTCCAGCGAATTTATTACAAGGAGCAGTCAATTTAGAAACATTGGATTTTTCATGCAATAAAATCAATAATTTTGACCCTGACACTTTTTCCGCTGAGAATAGCCTGAAAATTTTATATTTGTCGCATAATAATATCAGCGAATTGCCCGTCAACACATTTAAAAAACTCATCAAATTGGAATCGTTAGATCTAGCCCATAACAGTATTGATGCATTGCCAGTTGATATATTTGAAAAACTCATCAAGGTGCAAAAGTTGGACTTATCACACAACAAACTAAGTGAAATACCATCGTTCTTGTGCCACAATATGGAAAAACTGAACGAAGTCGATTTTTCGAACAACAAATTGATGAGAATTGATCACTTTGTGTTTTCTGGTGCGCTGAGCCTACAAAAAGTGGTGTTTGCAAACAATCAACTAACATCTTTGAATCGGCAGATATTTGATGCACATTCAAATGTGACATATTTGGATATTTCTGAAAATCAGATAAAAATGAATGCTTTGGCAAACACTTTGTCCAACTTAGAAAATTTATTGCATTTCAACGCATCAGGCAATCCGATCAAAAATGTGAGCAACAAAACATTTGCGAAAAATTTAAAACTTGAGACTCTGTCACTGTCACACTGCGGCCTAACACAAATTAAACCGGGCACATTTTCATCTTTATCAAAATTGATGAGACTGGATCTGTCATATAATCAACTGAAAACATTGGATTTAAATACGCTTCCATCAGAACTTCGAAAATTGAAAATCGCTGGCATTGACAGCAACAAATTCAACTGCTCATATCTCGAGGAGTTGATTAAATTGATAACACCACAGCATTTGGACGCCATTTCAAATCGCGTCAATTGCAGCACAGGCAATGAAGAAGAACTGGTCCAAAATAAATCAAATAAAAGCACAACTGTGACTTCGATCGAAGCGACGATAAAAAATGTGGTTTTTGATATCGCCACTGAGAGTGCAGAAAACATTGACAAGAAACAAATAACGGAAACAGTGCAAACGGAAAAGAAACTTCCGATTCCGAAGGATGTTGAGAACGGTACCAATCAAGAACATCAAACCGCCGTCAACCGAATGCACAGCGACTTGATTTTAGTTAAAAAATACTTGCTCGTAATGATATATTTGGTGGCCATTGGTTTCAGTTTGATTGTGTTGTTTGCCGCTTGGAAGATCTTTCATTCGCGAATTTTCAAATCATTCAATGCCACCCAAGTTATTTATCGAAGAGATGAAATTGATACGCCTAATACAGTGGAGAACAACACCTATCGATACCATTAAATTTCACAAGAAGTAACCAAACATGTGTTTTCCGATGGCTGAGCATCTCAGCATTGCGTAAGCTACGGATATATCCGAGCATATCGACGATGCATACTGTATAATACAGTGCCGTGTGTTGCTACGTGCAGCCGCAATGACTCGACCGGAATGTGTATGTTGTTGCTGCGTGCAGCCACATCAACTGAACACACTTCGGTCGAGTCGTTGCGTGTAGCAACACGCGCCACTGTATTATACAGTATGCGTCGTTGATATGCTCGGATATATCCGTAGCTTACGAAATGCTGAGATGCTCAGCCATCGGAAAACACATGTTTGGAAGTAACTCTTATTACTCTAGATGAATGGTTTGAAATTATTTTGAATACAAACTTTTTTTTAAATTAGATTTCGACTAGGGGGATTTCTCACGAAAAAAATGAATGAATTCTTAAAAATTTTGAAAATTTTCTTCAATTCGGTCCGATTCGATCAATTTTTGTCAATTCGTGTAAATAAATGTACATTTACACTGAACTTTTGAATTATGCTTCAATGAAATTGTTCTGGAAGTGGGTTTTGGTGGATATCAAGGATCGTTCAGAACTTCTCCCGGTTCTGGAAGTGGATCTTCAGGATGGGCCAGGGCAATGTCAAACCGGATCTGGTCCATCCTGAGGATCCACCAAAACCCACTTCCAACTTCCAGAACACTTTTATTCAAGCAAATCGTCATTTTAGTACATTTTCATACAATTTCAATAAAAAAAAAGAAATAATAGAAATTTTTGCACATTTGCTCAAACTTTTTGTGTGAGAAATCCCCCTAGGATTTCGAAACATCGACGTTGTCACTATTTAACAACTAAACGTAATGCAGAGAAGCCTAATCAAATTAGTAATGTATGTACCTCCAAGTAAAAAGTATAAAAACTTGAGAATAAATGAAAAATTTGACGTTTTCTTTATCTTCTTAGAATAATATTATTAGAGAGCTATATAGCTCTCAACACAAAAATATTGACATGAAATTAGTAAATAGCAATTTTAGAACATCGCTCTCCCAAGAAAAAAATAATTTACATTCCTAAATGAATTGTTTCTTGATTTGATTATCTAGATCATTAATTGCACTGTTTATTAAGTAGACATTCAGCTTAAATGTATGCGATTCGTTGGTTTGAATAAACAATTCAGATAGAAAAGTTTTAAATAATAAAAAATGTGTCGCTTTCATTTATTATTATTCCAAAGTGTTAGCCATAAATAGATCTACTTATTGTTACTCAAAGTCTACCTTAAATTAGAACTGATGACTAGAATTTCAAGCAACTAAGAGATGCATCCAAATATCGAGAATAAATACAGGTAGCGGGAACATTCGGACTAAATATCGATCAAAACCATTATCATTGTTCAACATCACAATGTGTGAGCAATAAAATGTCTTTAGCTGTGTTTAACTTTGTATTTACAGCATGCATTTGACTATGTGTAATTGTTCTATATTCGAGCTAAGATTTGAGTGCAAACTAACCGACACAATGTATGTGTTGATGTTTTGTCGGCCAGGTAGTAAATCCCTAAAATTCAGGTAAAGTTTTTCCATATTATCGAACGCCAAACTGTAGTTTTGAGCTGCTTAAAAACGAAGATGAAAGAAGAAATGTTTCTTGCTTTTTATATTCCTTCAAATTTGTTTTGCGTTGAAATTTCTTTTGAATTCATTTTGAGCTCGAAAATCCATCTTGTTGATTTGTTCTTATTTCGGACATTTATTTTTCACTGTCTTGCCTCTCGTACTTGTTGCCAGAAAAAAAAACCGTACGAGGCATAGAAAAACAAGCATTCCATCTCACCTTTTAAAAGTGATGCTTCACCTACTTTGTCTCAGTTCACAAGTGCACTTTCAATTGTTCGCTCGTTTCGTTTGTTGCTCCTGTAAAAATGAAAGTCAAATTAATTTCGTTCGTTTTGGTCGTTTTGTCAATCGATAACTTTGTGCTCTCGGAAAAATATCAATACATTGGTGATTGTCTTCTTAAAAACGAGCAAAATCAACGTCACCTAACGTTTGTGTGTGTATCAAGTAGCCAAAGAAACAATCTGTTTGACATTTATGGAACGGTCCGGTGTTCCAAGCAAGGCTTATATTTGTGGAAATCGGACATAAATTCAATTGATTTCACCGAATGCCATCAACCGCAAATACCAGACACTCTATTCGAAAGGTTTCGAAATGTCCGAGTTTTCGATTTGTCAAATCTCGGCCTCGAGCTCTTGAACACCAATGGCTTCGATCAGCTAACGGAATTATACGTGTCACAAAATGAACTGGCGAAAATTCCAGCCGACACATTTGCAGGCGCCAACAAGCTCATCGAAGTGGACCTTTCATTCAATAAAATCATTGAATTGAATGAGAATGCTTTTGTCATCGAAAATAAAGTCGAAACGTTGAATTTAGCACACAACGACATGCAAGTAATACCGGTCAACACATTTCATCGACTCATCAAGCTGAAGCGTTTACTTTTTTCACACAATCAAATAGAGGCAATTCCATCGCTTTTGTTTCTGCGAAGTGAGCATCTCATCGAGATTGATTTCTCATTCAATAAAATCGGAGAAATTGATGAATTTGCATTCGACGGCGATTTCCATTTGGAAAAAATGAACCTTTCACACAATCAACTCCACAGTTTAACTCCAGAAGTCATGGCATCTCATATAAATTTGAAGAAATTCGATGTGTCTTTCAATCAAATCACCGTTCTAAATCCGGAATCACTTAAAAACCTGCAAAATTTGGAGCTGCTAGACTTCTCCAATAATTTAATTGAAAAATTATATTCAACAACATTTGTCAATTTAACGAAACTGCAGCATTTATATTTGGCACGGAATCGTTTATCAGAAATTCTCTTGGGCACATTTCAACATCTAATCATGCTTGAAACGTTGGATTTATCGAGTAATCAATTGAAAGCATTGCATTCCAATAGTTTTGCATTGCGACCAACGCAATTGAAACTGTTGTCGATTGCAAACAATCAATTGCGGACGATGGATGGCATAACCAGCTCGCTAATGCCAAATGTGAAAATTATCGGCATGGACAGCAATCAATTCAGCTGCTCATTTCTGAGAGAATTTTTCAAAACAATCACCTGGCAGCAAATCGCCTCGATCTCGAAACGAATCAAGTGCAGCGGTGGAAAACAGAGGAGTCAAGATCTTTTCGATGAAATTCGTCGCGATTTTGTTTCATTAGGAGAAGATCTGAAATTCCGTATGAAACATGCTTTTGATGCCGAACGTGTTTATATAATCAAAGTTTTTTTGGGTTCTCTTCTTTGCGTTACGGTGCTTATGAATGCACTTAAACTTTACAACATTTCATTGCTATATTGCTTGGATAAAGATAAATGTATAGCATTATTTTCACAATTGTCCAACTCTCTCAAATGCGTTGGAAAAAGTTGTGTGGCTTTCTTTACTATTGTTATAGTTTTACTTACTGTCGGGCCCATTTTATCAACCATTTTCATTGCGCTTGGAATTCTATTCGTAGCTTTCTTATTTATTGCTCTCGGATTCTTTTTATTCCTGACTTTTTTCATTTTATTCGTTGAGTTCACCAAAATAGTTTTTTCGATATGCACACAAATACAAAGCGTAACATACAATTGTCAAGTATATTCAATTCCTTCAACATTCAAAAGACGTTTTCAAATAAATAAATAAATAAAAAGTGTGCCCTGGCGTGTACGTATACAAAAATAAACAGCATTTAATACAAAAGAATCCTTTCGAAAACTTCTCGACCAATTTAATTCATTTTTCAAGATTTAGGTGATAATAGGCGATCATTTGTATTGCTTTGTAGAATAAAATTTATATTTCTTATCCTGAGAAAGAGTTCTTAAATCCAATAAATTCGAATTAAATAAAAAATGTTATAGTTCTCATTGATTTATGTGGTCTATTTTTCAACTAGTTTGTTTCAGCATTTGACGCATCAACAAATTGAATTTATAAAATTCAGACATGAACATCGACACTTATGCTGTATGGATCCCATACTATGGAATGTAGATAAATCTGGTTGATTTTTTCCAATGAAATGTTTGAAAGTTGTTGCTTTGTTTTCTTTTGCATGTCGCCTTGAAACACAAACATTTTTTATTACTTGTCGATAAGGTGTCTGTGAACATAAATGGCTTTTGTTTTAAAGAGGCCCTTTTATGTTTTCTATACTTCTTGCATTGTTTCGTATCGCCTTTCTGTCCTTTTTGTACGTTTCATCCTCATCTGCTTTGATCTTTCTCCGTTTTTGTTTCTTCTCTTCCTTTTTTCTTTCTCTTTCATCATTTTCTTCATCAATTCGTATGATAATTCGTCAATACTGTATTCGGTATAGTGTACTGCAAAATTCAAGTCAAATCAAATGAAAGCTGAACAGTGAGCATTTTTATCTCTCAAGTATGAAAAATTCATCGCCGACGAAAGCACTTACTGTTTAGAATGATTCTGAAAATAAAACCAAACGTACATGCTTCAGTTCAAAAGTGATCATCGACGTGTTAAACTCAACATAAAAACGTTCATTTATTCTATTCCCAAATCCTGTACATTGTTTTCTCAAGGAAGTGAACTTTTTTTACTTTTCCGTACACAACGTGTCAAGTAGTGATGGCTTTGAACGTTCGTTCGTTCCACAATTTAAAAAAAATATTTTTTGTTCGTTCGTTCGTTCGACATTCATTTTGTTCGATGTTCAGTCCGAACAAAGTTTTTTTTATTTCGAAATCTCCCGAATAAATTTGGTATTACTACGAAAAATTATAATAAAAGCTAATAAAAGCATGGGCTGTAACGATTACATTATAAATTTAATCAATATATCGAATTTTCTGATGTAAAAAATTTTTGTTCGGACCGAACATCGAACAAAATGAATGTCGAACGAACGAACGAACAAAAATTTTTTTTTTCAACTTGTCGAACGAACAAAAAATATTTTTTTTAAATTGTCGAACGAACGAACGAACAAAACCTTTTTTTAAAACCATGTCGAACGCACGAACAAGCGTTCGAAAGTGTTCGACGGCCAACACTAGTGTCAAGGGAAAGTATAGGAATTGGTCCCGAAAACTTTTTTCGCAAAATTAGCTTAGATCATCATAAAAACTCATGAAACGCGTAGAAACTTTTTGAGACACTTTTCCGTTCGTGTGCCGTCGTCGTTGTCGTCGTCGTAGCTGTTTGTAAACACGATAACTCAAAAAATAGTTGAGATAATCAAAATCTGGAAATGCCAAAAGTTTTGTATCCGAAAAACTTAGTTTAAGTTCGAAGATGAGCCATTTTCAATTTGACCCTGGGGTACTTGCCCTAAGAAAAACCTCAAAAAATTGACACTTTTGTATGGGAGGTACCTGTAAATCGACTCCGATTGGCTTCAAACTTTCTGGGATTTCATTTTTTGGGAAAAAAATAAGATTCTGAAAGTTTGAAACCAATCGGAATCGATTTACGGGTACCTCCCATACAAAAGTTTAGAAATTTTGACTAAAATTACCGATTTTTGGACAATTTTGTATGGGAGGTACCCGTTAATCGATTCTGATTGGCTTCAAACTTCCTGAGGTTTCATTCTTTGGAGAAAAAATAAGATTCTGAAAGTTTCATGTTGATCGCATGTGCGCCCCCCAAAAAATGAAATCCCAGAAAGTTTGAAGCCAATCGGAGTCGATTTACAGGTACTTCCCATACAAAAGTGTCAATTTTTTGAGGTTTTTCTTAGGGCAAGTACCCCAGGATCAAATCGAAAATGGCTCATCTTCGAACTTAAACTAAGTTTTTCGAATACAAAACTTTTGGCGTTTCCAGATTTTGATTATCTCAATTATTTTTTGAGTTATCGTGTTTACAAACAGCTACGACGACGACGACAACGACGACAACGACGACGACGGCACACGAACGGAAAAGTGTCTCAAAAAGTGGTTTTCTACGCGTTTCATGAGTTTTTATGATGATCTAAGCTAATTTTGCGAAAAAAGTTTTCGGGACCAATTCCTATACTTTCCCTTGACACGTTGTGTACGGAAAAGTAAAAAACGAGAAACTCATCGAAATTGACTTTTCATTCAATAAAATATCGATTATTGATGATTATGCATTTGCCGGTGATTTTAATTTGGATATTCCCAATGAGCCAAACACGTGCAATTATTGTGTATAGTAAATTTTTTCCCAAATCGTGCACAATTTTTACACATATTGTGCCCAGAAACAAAATTTTATCTAAATAGGCCCGAAAATTGCACAATTTTTTCACTTTTAGTGCTACATTTAGCATTACATTAAAATATGCACAAAATTCAAACATTTAGCATTACATGTGTTCATTGGGATCTCAAGTTGTGACACAATCATCTGAAGAGTTTAAATTCGGAAATCGTGGGATTCAATTCAAATTTGAACCAACTAGACATTTCATTCAATGAAATCGACACATTGAATTCGAACACATTTGAGAACTTCAATAATTTATTATCATTGAATTTGTCGGGAAATTTATTTAAAAATGTGGCCATTCACCAATTTGAGAGACTTCCAAAGCTCAAGCATTTATATTTGTCTGCGAATAATATATCCAAAGTACAATCAGGTGCATTCGTAGGACTCACGCGTTTGGAAAGCTTAGATTTATCGAGTAACGCATTGAAAACGTTGGATATTGACATTTTTCCACATCGGCCAAAACAATTGAAACTGATTTCGATCGGTAATAATCAACTGCAAGAGTTAAAAAACTTCACCGGCGAGCGCATTCCAAACGCAAAAATCAATGGCATCGACAGCAATCAATTCAGTTGTTCATATTTGAAAACATTCTTCAAATCGATCACATGAAAGCAATTGCACTCAATTTCATCGCGAATTGCATGCAATTCTGATATTGGACCTGCGGAGGAAAAATTTAAATCTTACATGAGCTCTTTGGACAACGAAGCAAATGGAACAACGACCGCCAAAGATGAGTTAGCAGAGGCAAACGAAAGTGATGATGAAATAAAGTACCAGGAAGTTTCCAAATTTCATGTAGATAAAGTCACACATCATGTAACTTTTATGTGTGTGGATGATCCAAATGCAAAACCTAAATTGACTATAAATTCATTTTATGTGTTTCTGGACTTTTCCCAATATTTCATCAAAGACGATATAACCGAAATCAACTTTGAAAACTGCAAACTATCACAGTTTAGTGACGTTTTCATGAAAGGTTACACCAATTTTCAAACGTTCAATATGTCACATCTCGGTATTAAATGTTTCCCATCAAATATATTTTCGGACATTCAACAATTGACTAAACTAATTGCCATAGACAACAAAATCAACGAACTACTGGTCAATGCATTGACCGACTGATTAAATTGAAGTATTTAGTATTTTCACACAACAAAATCAAGGCAATTCCATCTTTTCTATTTCTAAAATGCGATAAACTCATCGAAATTGACTTTTCATTCAACAAAATATCGATTATTGATGATTATGCATTTGCCGGAGATTTTAATTTAGAAAAGTTAAATTTATCACACAACCATCCGAAGAGTTTGAATTCGGCAATCACAGAATTCCATTCAATTTTGACGTTGAATCAATTGGACGTTTCGTTCAATGAAATCGACTTTTTAAAGCCAGATACATTAGAAAAATGTGAAAATTCAGTGTTATTGAACTTGTCTGGCAATTTACTTCAAAAATTGAACACTCATATGTTTGATAAGCTCGTAAAACTTGAGCATTTATATTTATCTGGGACCAATTTATCTGAATTGCCTTCAGGTACATTTGCAGCGCTCATACGTTTGGAATTATTGGACCTCTCAAATAATACATTGAAAACATTGGATATTGACATTCTTCCATATCGTCCGAATCAACTGAAACTGCTGTCAATCGCAAATAATCAACTGCAAGAGTTAAAAAACTTCACCGGCGAGCGCATTCCAAACGCAAAAATCGATGGCATCGACAGCAATCAATTCAGTTGTTCATATTTGAAAACATTCTTCAAATCGATTACATGGAAGCAATTGCACTCGATTTCTGTACGACTCGATTGTAATTCGGGTGTTAAACGTACTGAAATTTATAACGATAGTAATTCCAAGACTCTTATAGACAAAGCACATTTTGAATCATCGGTGGACGGAGCAAATTACAGCAATTTAACGAATGGCAAAGATGGATCAACACAAAGAAATGACGCTTTTATCCATGAAGAGAAAAATAAGCAGCACATCAAGAGGAGATATTTCAGATTTATTTAGATCAGAAATTGCGTTTATCTGGAAATGGATCACTCTCCCAAATTTATCAATGATTTGATTTCCGTGTAGCATTACATCCTTATACATAACCTCTTCAATTCCATTAATAAAAAAATCCAAAAAATAATATTAGTTCTTTAAGACAAGCATCGATCGTATGCTATTACTTCGTACACATTCAGAGTGTTTTGAATTTATAAAATATGAATGATATTTAAATTGTATTCTATCACATGGAAATTGTTTTACAAGAAAATAAATAGCATGGAACCAAAGAGAGCGTTCACATCAAATGAATCTAATATGTGACATTTGCATACAGCATAATTAATGCGTCTGAAAAAGTGAACTATTTTCGAAAATTCCAAAGAACTGTAAATGTTGCTTGTCTGTTTCCAAGCTAATTACCATCTAAAAAAAGTCGTTGCACTTCATTTTATTACGTTTACTTTTGCATGCCGCCTTAAAAGACAAACATTTTTTATTACTTGTCGATAGGTTGTCTGTGAATGTTATTGGCTTTTGTTTCATGTGTTTTTATGTCGGTTTTACTCCGTGAAGTTCATCGCTTTGCTTCTTATCGCCCTACTGTCCTATTCGTACGTTTTTTCCCCTCATTTGCTTTGTCTCTTTTTTTTCTCTTTCCACAAAGAGCACTTATTTCTCAGATAAGTGACAATTGATTTTCAATTGACCATTTATGTCTCTTGCTTTGAAGAACAATACCGATACAGACACCGTACTGCGATAAAAGCCTATATAAACAATGTTATTATATTTGACAA